TCCTTCATGTGGAGATCCTGATCATTGGGCTCCTAGTTGCCCTAATCGCTGTGACAAGCGTCATCTTGGGAAAGGCAGCAAGACTGCTAATGTTGTCATTGGAGACACTGACATGAAGGATACTTGGTATGGTATATTTCCTACTATTCTTTCAGTATGTCATTCTCCTGATTGGTTGATTGACACGGGTGCTAATGTGCATGTATGCGGTGATATTTCCATGTTTTCATCTTATCATACCGCAGGGACTTCCATTATGCTAATGGGCAATGGTTCAAGTGCTTCTGTTCGTAGTGTTGGCACGGTCGATCTGAAGTTTACTTTGGGGAAGATCGTGTGGCTGAAGAACATGCATTATGTCCCCTCCGTCAATAAAAATCCTTTTACCGAATATCTTCTGTGTAGAGATGGCTACAAGCTTGTCTTTGAGTCTAATAAATTTGTAATATCCAAGTATGGAACATTTGTTGGTAAAGACCATGAGTTAGGAGTCCTGTTTCGTTTATCCTTGTCAGATGTTTGCAATAAACTTGTTAATCATGTTTGCAACAATAGTGAATCAAATGTGTGGCATTCGCATCTCTGTCATCTTAATTTTGGTTGCATATCGCGACTAGCCAAATTGAACTTCCCTAGTTTCACCATTGTCAAGGGATCTAAGTGATAAGTGTGTGTGCAAGATAAGCAACCTCGTAAGTCTCATGCGACTGCAGAAACAAGAAATCTTGCACCACTAGAGCTCATACATTCAGATCTTTGTGAAATGAATGGTGTGTTGACAAAAGGTGGAAAGAAGTATTTTATGACATTAATTGATGAATCCACTAGATACTGTCATGTGTATCTTCTGAAATCTAAGGATGAGGCTTTGAACTATTTCAAGATCTATAAAGCCGAAACGGAAAACCAACTTGATCGAAAAATCAAGAGGCTTAGGTCCGATCGTGGCGGAGAGTATTTCTCAAATGAATTTGATTCCTTTTGTGCGGAACATGGTATAATCCATGAGAGGACGCCTCCCTATTCACCTCAGTCAAATGGGGTGGACGAAAGAAAGAATCATACTCTAACTGATTTGGTTAACACCATATTAGACACATCGGGTCTCTCCAAGGCAGGGTGGGGGAGGCAATATTGACGGCATGTCCTGTCCTAAACTGAATTCCCACAAAGAACAAAGAGATAACTCCATTCGAGGAATGGGAGAAGAAAAGGTTAAAGCTCTCTTATCTACGAACCTGGGGTTGTTTGGCGGAAGTCAATGTGCCAATTCCAAAGAAGTGCAAGCTTGGACCAAAGACTCTGGATTGTGTTTTCCTGGGATATGATTTTCATAGCATTGGTTATAGATTCTTGGTTGTAAAATCTGAGGTACCTGACATGCATGTCGGTACGATCATGGAGTCGAATGATGCGACTTTTTTTGAAGATATCTTTCCCATGAAGGATATGGCTACCTCATCTAATCAAGAGATGCCTAGTTCATCGAATCAGGGACCAGTTACAATTATAGAACCTGCCATTCCGATGGAACACTTTGAAAATCCTGTGGAGGAGAACAATGAAGTTCCTACCAGGAGCAAGAGACAGAGGATTGCAAAGCCCTTTGGTGATGATTTTCTTGTCTATCTAATAGATGACACTCCCAGTTCTATTTCAGAGGCGTATGCATCTGAAGATGCTGACTACTGGAAGGAAGCGGTCCGTAGTGAGATGGATTCCATCTTGGCAAATGAAACTTGGGAGATAACTGGTCGTCCTTATGGGTGCAAACCTATAGGGTGCAAATGGGTATTCAAGAAGACACTTAGGCCTGATGGTACTATTCAGAAGTACAAGGCACGGCTCATGGCTAAGGGTTATACCCAAAAGGAAGGTGAAGACTTCTTTGATAGTTACTCACTTGTGGCTCGACTGACCACTATTCAAGTCCTACTTTCACTAGCTGCCTCACATTGTCTTCTTGTTCATCAAATGGATGTTAATACTGCTTTCCTAAATGGAGAGTTGGACTAGGAAATTTATATGGAACAACCAGATGGGTTTGTAGTAGATGGTCAGGACGTGAAAGTGTGCAAGTTGCTGAAGTCTCTATATGGACTTAAGCAAACACCCATGCAGTGCCACGAGAAGTTTGAAAAAACTTTAACAGCTTCAGGCTTTGTTGTAAACGAAGCTGATAAATGTGTGTACTGTCGCCATGGTGGGGGCGAGGGAGTTATCCTTTGCTTGTATGTTGATGACATACTGATTTTCGGAACAAATGTGAATGTTATTAAGGAGGTCAAGGATTTCCTATCTCGTTGCTTTGAGATGAAGGATTTAGGAGTGGCTGATGTAATTCTGAACATCAAGTTGGTGAGAGATGATGATGGTGGGATTACATTGCTTCAATCTCACTATGTGGAAAAGATCTTGAGTCTCTTTGGTTATAGTGACTGCAAGCCCTCTCCAACACCGTATGATGCGAGCGTGCTTCTTCGAAAGAATCAAAGAATTGCTAGAGATCAATTGAAATATTCTCAGATTATTGGCTCGCTTATGTACCTAGCCAGGACTACAAGACCTGACATCTCTTTTGTTCTTAGCAAACTTAGTCGGTTTGTCTCAAAACCAGGAGATGTGCATTGGAAAGCTCTAGAGAAAGTTTTGCGTTATTTGAAAGGCACTGCAAATTATGGAATTCACTACACTAGGCACCCAAAGGTGCTTGAAGGGTATAGTCACTCAAACTGGATCTCAGATGCTGATGAGATAAAGGCCATGAGCGGATATGTATTCACTCATGAAGGTGGCGTTGTTTCTTGGAAGTCTTGCAAGCAGACCATCTTAACAAGGTCAACAATGGAAGCAGAGCTCACAGCACTAGATATAGCTACAGTCGAAGCAGACTGGCTTCGTCGGCTCTTGAATGACTTGTCGGTTGTTGAGAAACCTGTACTGGGTATCCTTATGAACTGCGACAATCAAACCGTGATCACGAAAGTGAGTAGCTCAAAGGATAACATGAAGTCATCAAGACACATTCAGAGAAGGTTAAGGTCTGTCAGAAAAATGAGAAACTCCAGAGTTATTTGCATTGGATTATATCCAAATGTCTAAAAATCTGGCAGATCCTTTTAATAAGGGTATATCATGTAATGTGATAGATAATGCATCGAGGGAGATGGGTATGAGACCCACAATATGAGTTGTTCACAGTGGTAACCTAGTCTATGTGATCGGAGATCTCGTGAATTAGATGTGGAAGACAAGTTGTTGGTCAACTGAGAGGAGAGTATCCTTACTATTAACAATACCACTCCATGAAGATGCAATACTCTCCTAAATCTGCATAGCAGGTTGATGTATATCTTAATGTGTTCTAAATGGCTCATTTAGGCAAAAATGTTGTCCTGCAGAACATCTTTCGAAGAACGCACATATATGAGTCTGATTATTAAACGTCGCAATCTATGAGAGTAGGGTGCTCTCTAGTAAACTCATGAAAGGTCTCGGAGTATGACACATAAGCTCCACCCGCTGGGAAGACCCACAGTAGCCAAGTATCGGTCAAGGCTTTGTGTGAAGCTAGATTCGCAGAAAACTTGCAGTTCAAGGCCCAATCCACTATTCAAGTTGCTTACTAGTGTAGCATAGAGTTCTAAGTGAAAATTCAACTTAACAGTCTCCACTGCAATACCGATATATAAAACAGTATTTTGGAACCAAAGGCAAATTTTGTGTGCCTCTAGGATCTGGTGGGGGATTGCTGGAATTTATTCTATTTCCGGGTCAGCCCAATAGCAATTTTAGAAATTCCTAATAAATCCTAGAGGCCCACTCAGCTCATTTGTGCAAGGCAAGAGGTGGAACCAAAATTTGGTCCCACATTGCTTGTTTGGTGGGAGTTGGACCTCCTTATAAGGGAGGGTGATTCCCCACATGTATGAGCATGAGAATAATAGGGACATTCACGCGCGCTCCTCCTCCGCCGCCCGCCTCGTCACGCCGTGCCGCACCGCGGGTTGCGGGTTGCGGGTTGCGAGAATGAGCCGAGCCGATCTCTAAATTTTTGCCACGCACGACGGATATACGAAAGGTCATGTGGGAGCTGAAACGTTTTCTGTAGTGGACACTGAATCCGAACAGCGTGCCTCTTCGGTTGAAGTCTGTTCGCTTCCTCTCCCACTTTTGCTTCATCTCCCGTCGCTGGCCTCTCGCCTCCTTCTCTTGCGCCTATAAAAAGGAGGCCGCTCCTCTCAAAGAGACGCACCAGAACTTCTTCTTCCTCTCGCCACCGGTTTCGATCTCTGAGCTGCTACTGTCTTCCTCAGCCCGGCTTGCGGCATGCACTGTGATTTGGGATAGTAGGCCTCCGGAACCGCACCTCTTTGAGTCCTGTACGGGAGAAGGGTGATAAGGTTTTTGGGAAGCGCTCTGCGCGACTACTGACTGGTTCATCACGGACACCGACAACCACTTCCCCAACGACGACTTCTTCCCCGACGTCGACAACCTCTTCGACGACATGGCTGGCGAGGATGTCGATCCCAAGTCCAATCCTCATGTTGCTGCCGCTGCCCCATACGTGTTCTTGACCTTCCTATTAGAGATCCTGCCACAGTTCCTTGTTCTATTGTTTGCCCTAGATACATATATGCATATGCTATTTACCTTCTCTCTGCCAGATCACATCACTTGTTTTTATCTCTGCTATATTAGTCATGCTTTATCTATCATTTCTGTTAATAAAATCATTTGGTAAATTGCTCATATTTCCAACACCAACATTTACAAACGAGGTCCATTACTCGTATTCCAACATAAGCAAATTCTTACATGATGCACGATAAATACAGTAGCCAATATAAACACCATAGTTACATGACGATGCACAAGTTGCATATACTCCACGTAGTATTTGAGAAAATGATATACTATGACAATCTAGTATCCGGTCTTTGCTATTAACGCGGTTTCCGCGCAAAGAGAAACTTGTGGCTGGATGGCTGGCAAAACTAAAAGTTCTCCTTGTGGAACTCGAATGTTGTGCTTGTTTTTCTCGAGGAAAGCTTCGCAAGTTCGCGCAGCTCTTTCGTCAGCGCCGGCATGCCACAGTAGAACACTCCTATGATGTCCAAGAAACACAGAGTTATGTGTCAAATTAGAAAAGTAATGCTATGTATGTACATATATATGCTGATTGATTGATTTTATTGTTCTTATGTGCAGATACCTGAGCTCATCAAGTAAGTTATGGTGGACAATTTGTGATAGCTCGTGCATGTATTGATAATTTCTATCTAGACTTGGCTTTGCTCAAATTTTTTAAGTGGTCACAACCATCATCAAGTAACAAAATTTCCTTGCTTGTATATACTGACCGACACGTTTTCGTTGATTCCGCTGGGCTATGTGTCGGTAGACTTCGCTCCAGTTTGCTCGGCCGAAGCTGGTCTTGACTCGACTGCCGGAGATGATGTCAATGCCGTGCTCGTCGTGGTTGAGGGACTGGGCCATAGTGAGCATCGCCGACCGGGCGTCGCCCTCCTCGTGGACGCTCGTACAGTGGACGTGGAGCTCAATGACGCCCTGCTCGTCCGTCTCGGCCACCTCGTCCATGATCCCACGGAACCACTCCAGGGATTCTTGCTCCCGGGTGATCCAGTAGAAGTAGGCGCGGCGAGTCCGGAACGATGATGGGGTGCTCCCGTCGCCAGGGTTGCCTGACTCGATGTCCCCGGGAAGCCGCTTCATGTTGTTGATGATGTCCTTGATGATCGAGATCATGGGTGTGGCTCCGATGCCGAGTCCCACCAGTAGCAAGGTGTCGTACTGCTTGTAGTCCTGTGCCGGCGCGCCGTACGGCCCGTCAATCAGCACCTTCGGGTACCTGCAGCACGAACATTTTTTGCTAGTCACAGTTGCTTCTCGTAACTAATCGGGTTGATTAAGATAACTTCACATGACCAAGACATCAATCTCGTGAGGAAAACATGTGGACAGTAGATACTCCCCCCTTTCATTATTATAAAAAAAATGTTCCAACTTATTTTTTCAATCTAATGTATGTAAATGCATTTTGGTATGTTTGTTTGCCCATTTTACTATATATGTAGTCTATATTAAAATATTCAAAACATCTTATAATAGTGAACTGAGCGAGTAAATTTTGTTCATGCAAGGATGCAGCAGGAAGTGAGAATGTTATTTCTGCCCCACAAAATTATTCCTATTCTAACCTCAACTGATGGTCGTCCATCTTCCCGAAAATATAAACAATGGAGTATCTCATACACAACGGGGGGGACATGGCAGTCACGAATGCCAGTTGGTACGTGGAAATTCGTCCTGCCATACGAGCAAAAGAAAATCTCTGGTGGTTGACGATCAAAGAGATCAGAGGAAGTGGCTATGGCCTATGGCTCTTATCGATGCACATCATAAACTATTTATTTGAAATATGTGTGGATGTGATTATACCATGTGGTCCTTCAGTCTCAAATTATATAAGGTTTTAACTTTATTTCAAATCAGTTAATATATCTTTTTGTGGGAAAAATTCCGTACATTTAACCAGATATATAGACAAACATGTTAATAATATCCACAAAATCAAAACATACAGTGAAACATATACTTCATGATTTTTCAAAATGAAAAAACTTTACGATGATGTAACGAAACTATTTTAGTATCATACTACCTCCATTCTTAAATATAAGACGCTGGGGCAGTTTTACATCTAGGAATGGAGTTAGTAGATGTTAGTACGGCATATGCAGCACTAGACAGGTCGGGTTGGGGCTCCATTGAGGGAGGAGCGATGACGACGGCGCGCCTTCGGCTTGTTTCAGTGTTTGTTGTCGTAGCTAGGTGGTCTATGGATATAAATATAATTTCTATTGCTTCTTGTATTCTTTGTACTATCATGATATTTGATAAATAGATCAAAAGGTTTTCATGCAGAAAAAAAAGGACAGACCGGGTTGGACCAGGGAGGAGACTGCACACCCAATCAAAGTTCAAGCCGAACCAACATATAAGAAAAATCAGAGCAAACTTTCATGGCAAAAAGGGAGAAATTTTAATGAGCACAGGTAATAGCCACGTACTTTTTTCTATCCCCCAGAGTTGGCATGGCCTTGTCATGGTCGTACTCTACTCGGAGAATCTCGGTCTTCTTCTCCTCCGTCGACGACTCGCAAACCTGTGATTCGCCGGCACACACAAGCACGAGTGTAAACCCCATTACTAGAAATGTTGATAAGCAAACATAAGACGGACATTCAGGAACAAACATGGTTTTCAAGCTTTTATAGGGGTTGAAGATGAGATCGACGCGACTAATTGCAGTAGTTAGTACCTTGAAGGCGTCCTTGAGGTCTTTTGTCCAGTCGCCCATCGCCTTGATGTGGACGCTGACGTAGTCGTCCTCCGGCGCCGATGTGATGGAGAAGGGGTGCCTGGACATTCGTTCGTTCCACTAATCAGACACAGATCCCTAGTTTAACCAAGTGAGCCGAGGATGTTGGCGGCAGCTTAATTACCACTCGAATGACGAGATATCAGGGCATTTGACGAAGATGTACTGTCCGCTCTTGTACCTGAACCCCTGCGGCTTGGACAAGTGCAGCGACAACAGGGCCGCCGGGTCCGGGTGCACGACCGCCTTGACCTTCTGCACCGCCCGCACCCTCGACCGCAGCGTCCGGGTCAGTCGTTCGCACGCGTACACGATCATCGGCACCGCGAGGTACATCCACGTCTGCACGTACCACATCATTGGTTTGAAGGAGATCCAAGAAAGATTAAACCCCATGCAAGTCAAAATTCTCTCAATCCCCTCCGGTCCTCTCTGAATTTAGAAAAGGGTCCTTGCACTAGAGCATGCAGTGTTCGCTCGATGTGTTAACATACCGTCTTCTTTTGCCACTTCTTGGTGAGGTAGAGGAAGTGGCCATGGACGATGAGCAGCACGTAGACGATGATGAAGAGGTGGTGTGTGTACAAGAAGGTGTTGTACCCGGTGAAACGATTGAGCAAGGCGTAGAAGAGCATAGTGAGACGGTTGCGTGAGGCGCCGCCATACTCGGTGAGGCGGTGGAGCAACCTAGGGAGGTTGTCTCGCTTCTTGTGCCGGGGGAGGTTGTCATCCTGCTTCTTGGGCTTGGCAAGCCTGGGTTTCCTATTGCGGAACCGCCCCGTGGCGAGCGTGAAGGCGATGGCCATGAGCACCAACATCACTAGCCCGGTCCACCCCTCCGTGCCCTTCAAGAACCACCAATAGTTGGGCGGCTTGACGTCGCCGAAGAACGGCTTCATGGGCTTGTACTCGTCGTCGGTGGCGTGCAACAGCCGCGGGAAGTCGCATGCTAGGTGGGAGAAGACATGCAAACCGGCCCCGGCGGAGATCCCCACGGCGATCACCTTGTGGAAGTTGAGGTTGTCGTTGAACGGCACGAACTGCCCAGCGACGGTGCGGCTCCGGAGCCACGTGATGGCGTTCCGGCACACGGGAAGGAGGGTGAGTGCCATGTTGAACTTGAGCGTCTCGGCACCGCCCTTGGCCACGCACACGCAGTAGCCCATCACCTGGAACACCGCACGATGACGGTACTGCACGAACTTCCAAGCAAAGAGACCGGCGCAGATGGAGAACCATAGGAGCATCACCCAACAACGGCGCCAATTGTCCTCGAGGAAGTATCTGGCGTGGTGGTACCACCGCCTGAGAGGATTGGGTTCCGCCATCGGATTGCTCGATTCATCCCCGTTGGTCGTCGTCGACAATTCCACCAATAGTGTCTTTAGGTCGTACAACTGCAAATTAATTCTCACCATTTAAATAAATGTGGTTAGGTCCTAATCGACCGAGACTTAATCAAGTCAAGTCAGATGACATATATGAAAGAAAGAAAAAAAATCTAAATATAGCATCGTTTGAGATTTGACAATCCCGGTTAGTAATTCTTTGCATCACCAGTTCACTGTGAGCACATCGTTTGAGATTTCACAATCCCGATTAGTTCTTTGACATCAGAATTCATTACCTCAATGTGGCCAAGGCCGTCGGGGTCCAACTTCTCCATGATTAACCGGGCACACTCCTCGGAGTCCTGTTCGCCCACCTTTAGCTTGTTCGCCGACGCGCTCAACGTAATTATCTGCAGACCAGATCAGAATAACCCTCAGTGATGTGCAATGTGCTATGGCAGTCTTTTTGAGCATGTATATATCAATCAGCAAAAATCAGAGAACACACCGTTCCTGTTTTTGGAGAATGGAGAGATGCCTGAATGAACCAGTGAAAGAGTACTCCCACCGTCTAGGTGTGTAAGTCATCTTACGAAAATCAAATAATCCCAAAACATTTAGGCGCGGTGCATTAAATTCTACATCTTTTTTGTTTCTTGACATATCAACCAATAAGAGATGTGGGGTGTGCATGCTTTTAATGACTTGAGACTACCAAACACGACATGCAGTGGTTAGTTCATTGCATGCAATGCTATTAGTTAGCAAATGAACATTAAGTTCTCTCGTTTTCCCCTCCCCCTTGGTCACGGTGCACAACCTAAGATGACTTACTCACCTAGACGGAGGGAGTAGTTGGAATTTACCTGTTTGAACTCCACCTGGCTGATCCTCCCGTCATCGTCCTTATCCACCCTGTTGGTTAGTCAAATGCATTCACTATTCAATAAATACTTCACGTTTGACCTTGATCCACAAAATATATGAGTTATTCGACACAAAGTTGTTTTTGTTAATAAATGCTACCCCTTCCTTCTAAAGTATCTCCAAAATATATGGTTTACACGACACAAAAGCATACCACAGTATTCACATTTCCAAGAAGTTTCCAATGATACCGGTGACGGAGCTTGGGCAAAAATCATGAGGGGCCATTGGCTGCGGGGTAAACAAAATCTCTATATGCTAATTTTTAGTGAAAATTTTGATCTAATACAAAGATATACACATAAGTTTTTCTTTGAGCTGGGGAGCCACCCCCATATAGCTCCGCCACCGAATGATACAATCTTCATTCAGATAGCTTACATGGTATATGTGATTACTTTAATTCATAGTTGATAAAATATGATTACTTTAATTCATAGTTGATTGAATAGGTTGGAAGTTTTTCGAAAAAAATGATTTTGGAGTTAAATCTCAAATATTTCTGTTGTGTGTTCTAGTGTATATAAGAGCATCTCCAGCCGTGCCCACAACACGGCCTTTCCAGACGATTTTTTCGCGCCAGCGCCGAAAAAACGGGCCATTCGCGCCCCCAGGAGCCCGTTTTTCGCCTGCTTGGGCCGAAATCAGCGCCGGCGGACTCAGGCCGAGCCCGGCACGCTGGGGGGCGCCCGGGGGCGCCGGGGCAAGTGGTTTTGGCGCGAAAGAGCCGCGGGCCCGCCTAGTCAGCGAGACGGCCGCTTCGTCGCCCTCATTGCCTCGGTTCCCGCGGGAATCAATGCCAAGGCTGCCGCGCCGGTCAGCCTCCATTGATGCCTCACAGGCGGCGCAGCCACAACCTTCCCCACCCCCCCGCCGACGAGCAAAGCATGGCCGAGAGATTCCCAGGCGACGGCGCAGCGGCGAACGGCTTTGGCCGCGGGCCCTCCACCCCGGCCCGAGCCGGAGGGGACACTGCTCGGGTGTCGCGCTCGCAGCGGCGCCCTCGTCATCAATGAGCCCTCACCACCTGCGACGGCACTGGCGAGGCGCTCCCTAGCCTGGTCCGGCCGAAGCCCGAGCCGGGATTGCTCCCCGTGAAGCCGGAGCACGTCGACATGGTGCCCCCGACGACGAGTCCGTCCTCAAATGCGCGAAGGAGGACTACGTCCGCGAGTAGATGCGCCGCCAGCGACAGGCGTACCTGGAGCACCAGGCCCGTCGCCGCGCCGAGGAGGGCGGCGTTATCGTCATCGACAGCGACGAGGAGGGCGAGGCCGGGCCGTCAAGCGCCCCGCCACGTGTCGGCGACCCCGCCCAGGGCTGCAACAGGGACGTCGCAGGCAAGGCGCGCGACGACGCCGCCGCCGCCGCCGGTGACGGCGGCGACTACACTCGCTTCTACAGGTTTCTCAGCATGTAGACGACGGCGACGGCGATGGCGGCAGCTAGGGTTTTTAGTTTGTTTTTTAAGTTAGGCGTAGTTCTTACATATTTTTATGGTTTTGTACAAATTTCAATGAAGTATGGCCTAGTTCCTGCAAAAATCGCCGAGTTTGCAAAAAATTAAAACGAACTTCGCCAAACCCAGGGTGACTGTGAGCTTGTGACTGGGAGCGAACCGAACCCAGGGACCAATCTAGCACCGGTTCGTCCCAGACCGCTCTTTTTTGACGCCCTGAGGGGCCGAACGGCTGGAGATGCTCTAAACTTGGAAGTATACTGAGGCGGAGGAAGTACTTGAGGGGTTAACTAATGGGTTGTGGGCTGGAGTTATCGTTAGCGTACATGCCGAAGAAGAGCTGCAGGCGGGTCTCGTAGCAGGAGTCGGAGATTTGATCCCAGAACTCGCGCAGCTCCGCCTTGTCGATGCTGTCCCCGGAGATGTGACACCGCCTTCCCAGCGCGTCGAACAGCTCGCCGGCGAAAGCGGCCTCTTTCATACCTGCATGCAAAATTGTTTGATTACAGTGAGCGCGTACATATGCCCAACTAATCAGGCATGAGCGAATTGTATTTCCGATTGAGACATGGCGGAGCGCGAGCGGGGCGAGGTGTTTGACGTACCGATGCACTGGCCGAACATGGAGCGGGGGAGGCGTGCATTTCTGTCGAAGAACCTCCTGGCTTCGGTCCATCCGTCAGAGGCGTCTGTCCCGCTGACGAACTTGAGACCCTCGAGCGCGCGCGCGGGGGCGGACGGCATGGACCTGTCGAAGCCGCCTCCCCGGCGGTTCAAGGACGCGACCCAGCAGGGGCGCCAATTGTCCTTGAGGAAGTATCTGGCGTGGCGGTACCACCGCCTCAGAGGATTGGGTTCCTTCCACAATTTCACCAATAGTGTCTCTAGGTCGTACAACTGCAAATTAATTCTCACCATTTTAATAAATATGATTAGGTCTTAGTCGACTGAGGCTTAATTAAGTCTAAGTCAAATGACATACATTCAAGAAAGAATTTTTTTTTCAAAATATAGCTTCGTTTGAGATTTGACAACCCCAATTAGTAATTCTTTGCATCACCATTTCGTTGTCAGCAACATTGTTGGTCGTAACAGAGTTCATTACCTCAATGTAGCCAAGGCCGTCGGGGTCCAACTTCTCCATGATTAACCGGGCACACTCCTCGAAGTCCTGTCCGCCCACCGTTAGCTGGTTCGCCGACGCGCTCATTGTAATTATCTGCAAACCAGATCAGAATAACCCTAATTGATGTGCAATGTGCAATGGCAGTCTTTTTGAGCGAGTATATCAATCGTCGAAAATCAGAGAACACACACACGCACACAGAGAGACTAGCACACGCACAGACACACACACACACACATACGCGCGCGCACGCCATTCCTATTTTTGGAGAATGGAGAGATGCTTGAATGAACTAGTGAAAGAGTAGTTGGAATTTACCTGTTTGAACTCCACCTGGCTGATCCTCCCGTCAGCGTCCTTGTCCACCCTGTTGGTTAGTCAAATGCATTCACTATTCACAAAGTTGTTTTTGTTAATAAATGCTACCCCTTCCTTCTAAAGTATCGACAAAATATATGATTTACACGACACAAAAGCATACCACAGTATTCACATTTCGAAGAAGTTTCCAATGGTGCTGGTGACGGAGCTTGGGCTAAAATCATGAGGGGCCATTGGCTGCGGGGGCAAACAAAATCTCTATATGCTGATTTTTAGTGGAAAATTTGATCTAATACAAAGATATTCACATAAGTTTTTCTTTGAGCTGGGGGGCCACCCATATAGCTCCGCTACCGATTGATACAACTTTCATTCAGATAGCTTACATGGTACTTCCTCCGACTGAAAATGCTTGTCATCAAAATGGACAAAAAGGTATGTATCTAGAACTAAAATATATCTACATACATTCTTTTTTATTTATTTTGATGACAAGTATTTCCGGACTGAGGGAGTATATGTGATTACTTTAGTTCATAGTTGATTAAATAGATTGGAAGTTTTTTCTAAAAAACAATTCAGGAGTTAAATCTCAAATATTTGTGTTGTGTGGTCTAGTGTATAAACTTGGAAGTAAACTGAGGGGGAGGAAGTACTTGAGGGGTTAAGTAATGGGTTGTGGGCTGGAGTTATAGTTAGCGTACATGTCGAAGAAGAGCTGCAGGCGGTTCTCGTAGCTGGGGTCGGAGATTTGATCCCAGAACTCGCGCAGCTCCGCCCTGTCGATGCTGTCCCCGGAGATGCGCCGCCGCCTTCCCAGCGTGTCGAACAGCTCGCCGGCGAACGCGGCCTCTTTCATACCTGCATGCAAAATTGTTTGATTACAGTGAGCGCGTACATATGCCCAACTAATCAGGCATGAGCGAATTGTATTTCCGATTGAGACATGGCGGAGCGCGAGCGGGGCGAGGTGTTTGACGTACCGATGCACTGGCCGAACATGGAGCGGGGGAGGCGTACATTTCTGTCGTAGAACCTCTCGGCCTCGGTCCATCCGTTGGAGGCGTGTGTCTCGCTGACGAACTTGAGACCCTGGAGCGCGCGCGCGGGGGCGGACGGCATGGGCCTGTCGAAGCCGCCTCCCCGGCGTTTCAAGGACGCGACCCGCCGGGTCTCCTGCTGGATCCGCGTCAAGGAGTTCTTGAGCACGGCATGGCCGGACGAGGACTCCGGCTTCTCCGGCGTCCGCGCCAGCAGCTTCACGCACGGGTCCTCACCGCGCGCCACCGGTCTCACGCGGGGCACCGCGATCGTGTCGTACCGCTTGTCGAAGGTGATCTCCACGCCGTCGCCGTCGTCGCCGTCGCCGTCGTCGTCGTCGACGTTGCCGCTCCCGCGCGGCGCGGAGACGGGCTCCGCGAACCGCGCGGTCTTCCGCGCCGCGGAACGGTTCCCAGGAGGCACGGCTCTCTCGCGCACGCCGCCGCTGGCGTCCACGATCTCCCCCACTCCGGGGCCGCCACGGGCATCGTCAGCGCCCACCCGGCTAGGCATGTCCGGCTCTGGCCACCGGTTCTAGCTCGTCCCCAAGAATCCTCCAAGAAACCGCAGCTAATGCGGAGGCAGAATTCAGCGCACGCTCCCCGGAACTCGATGCCGGAGGTTTCGGCTCGGCTCGAGTAGTAGCAGAACCGAAGAAGCAGTTGTTGGAACTTGGAAGAGGAATTGGATTGGATGCGTGTGTTGAGAGCGGTAGGGAGATGGCTATATTTATAGGGGACGGGTGCTTCATCTTCTACCCATGCATGCTGTGGTACGGTGGGAACTACAGGTTGGAATGGGATGTTGACCTGTCACTGTCGTCTGTTGCTTGTTGCTTCATGATTAGAACGGAGTGCTCCGACTGGCTTGAATAAAGTACACGATCGAAGTGGACTAATTCATGTTTTAGTTCACATGTACCCCCTCCGTTTGAAAACAAGTGACGTTTGGAAATAAGTGACGTTGTTTTAGTTCAAAATTGTACTAATGCGTTTTTTTATATATATCCATGCTCATGAATTTGTTGAGGCAATTCATGGACAATTCTCAGTTGAGTCCATATATAAAGCGTTAATCCAGTCTGATGTGCCGGTCACAATAACAAGAAGATCTGGAAGATGAAGATACCTCTTAAGAATGAAATCTTTACACTGTATCTTAATCGCGGAGTCATTCTTACTAAAGATAACCTTATTAAGAGGAATTGGCAAGAAAGTTCTCAATGTGTAAACATTTATTTTTCCAATGCAAATTGGCTCGTTCCATACGTCGAGTCATCCAAATAGCTCCTGACTTGTATACTCCTTGTAGTGTTGCTAATCTATTTGGCAACTGGTTACATGAGATTGATCACATGTTTAGAACTCTTCTTAGGGTGGGAGCGCTAGCCGTTATGTGGGCGCTTTGGCTATTGAGAAATGATAAGGTTTTTAATGATAAAAGTACTTCTCTTATGAAGGTTATCTACGGATGTACCAGGATTCTTTGCTTATGGTCCTCTTTACAACGCGTGAAGAATCAAGACCTATTTACGGAGGTGTGTACGTGACTGAAGGCTACGGCGAGGGATACTTTTATCCAACATGGGTGGCAACATGATCTTGGGATTGGCCCCGCCCCGCTTTAGGTATTATATGGACTCTACATGTCTCTTTGTATTTCGCCTTTTTTATTTTTTGTTTGTTTGAGAGGATATTATTTGATGGTGGGCGTGTTCTGAAACTGCCCAGCTTCTCCAAAACTTTCTAGATTCGGCTTCTCACATGGCTTCTCGCTTCAGGTGGTGACATGGAAAGCGTTCGGCAATGTTGGGGCCCCACTCGGAGGGATTGGCAGGCCAGGTTGGGGCCCAAAAATAAACCTAGCCCCTCACCTCGCTCGTCTCTCTCTCCAATCCCCTCGACCCCTCCTCCTGTGCGCCGCCACCCATAGGGTACGCACGACCCCGACGCGCCCGTCCTCGCTCGTCGGATGACCATGGCGCCACCACCGCCAGCGCGGGCGCCTCAGCCTCCCGTCTGCCCTCCTCCTCCCTGACTCCCATGCCAGCCATTGTCATCAGCAGCCGATGCAGATCCGGCAGCCCCCTTCCCATCGCAGCCTCCTCCAGTCATCTCCGTCCCTTATGCTCACGCCGGAGCTCCTCCGCCTGAGGATAACCACGCCGACGACCACCCTGTGTCACCTCTACCTCACTTAGGTCAGGCCATGCCCCGTCATCTCCGGCCGCCGCTCATCGCCCTCCACTTCGAGAGTTCAGGAAAAAATGGAACCGGTATGTTGAAAGTCACTTGGTGGTGGCAACCCGGTGTAATTCTCCTCAACTCCAACTTCTTCGTTTTCACGGATCTGGGAAAGACCAGCTTCCCCCGCTTCTCCTTTTTTACACTAGATAGGTAGCCATCTTCTCGATTCCAGCTTCTTGGAGCCAGAGCGTTCAGCTCAGTTTCATGTGTGGAGTTGACAAAGTTGGGAGTTGGAGCGTTGCCAAACAGGTGTGTCTTAGTTATGTAGAGGCCGGGTGTAATGCTTAAATCTTTTAAGTAATAAAACACCCTTTTTCGAAAACAAAATGAATTTGTTGAGGCCATAGCTTAGGCATTGCCCCATCCCCATGGCATCTATAAATTGATAGCAAACAGGCAGGTAAAGTCAGATCATCTAAATAGATATAAGAGATGATTTAATAAATTTATGAAGTCTGTTATTTCAGAAAAAATGTGTAAAAAAACTAGTACTCCTCCAGTCTCAGCCCAAAGGATAGGCAAATCGAAGAAACCCAGCCGATGACAAAGTCCACCTAACGACATCCCGGTATTAGAGCATATCCACTCGTTCGGCCCCCCAGCGCACCCGACGATTGTGGTTTGGCCCAAGCGCCGGCGCTTTTTTGGCTCTGGGGGCGATCTAGTTCCCAGCTGTGCCCCCAGGTTTCGGCCCCAAGACACGCATAAATTCAAACTTGCCATTTCCCTCTACCCCAAAAAGCGCCACAAGTTCGGCGATCAACGACTGCCACAAAGTTCAGCGGTCACCATGCCACAGTTTGGCGATCAAACCCATACTCGAAAGTTCGACATTCAAAAGGAAGGACGTGTAGGTAATGCATCAAACAACGGCGGGCTCCTCCGGCGTCGGACTAGCGCTCATAGGCATGCTCGGCGTCGGTATGGCTTCTGTGCTCTAGCTGGTCGAGGTCAGCGTGGCTTCTGTGCTGGGTGTCGTGGCGGCATCATCACTCAGGCTTGGTTGTGGCGTTGGGGTCGTCGTGGGAGTTGGCGCGGTCGTAGACAACATCTGGTTCAAGATGAGGCCGCGCTCCACCAGGTACCACGCCTTGACCTGATCGTCCATTGTCGACATGTCCGCCCCCATCAAGAACACTAGGTCGGTGTTCCTCTTCTTCGCGGTGACGTTTATCCGGAGTAGGTCGAGCTTGACGGCGTTGTTCGTCATCAACGCCGACCACCGCGCCTCGGATTTCTCTTTCCTCTGGGCGGCGTGGTTCTTGGCGTCGGCGATGCACTGTTCGATGGACACGTGCGGCCGCTCGGCAGAAGGTGCGGTGTCCTTCGCCGTCTTGGCTCATTTGTTGCTGTCAGGGCGCCCATCCGCCGCCCCCGTATGGGCGCATCCGGCTTGTACGTCTCCTTGGCCTTGGCGAGGGTGCGTCGGACATCCGCCCACTTCTCGCACTTCTCGATCCGGGTGAACACGTGGAGGTACTTGAACTCTTGGTCGTTGCTGCTGTCCTGGCGGTACATGGTGAACATCCGAACCATCTGTGACGAGGAACAAGTGTCGGCGATGTACACGGCGAAAAGAAGTGAGAGCCAGCGTCTGTGCATACCTGGCCCTCGATGTTGGCGCCGCTTTCCAGGCGAGTCGCAATCTCCTCAACGATCCCATGCCATTTGTTGTAGGCCGTTTGGATGATCGCCCAATGGTTTGACATGGCCTTCGAGTCGTGCTACATGTGGATGGTGGAGAAGTAGGGGTCGACCAGCTTGCGCTCATCGAACACCGACTTGATGTGCGTCCAATACGTGTCGGCGTTCTGGTTCGTGCCGGTGATAGGGTCGAGGCAGACTGTCTTCCATGCTTCGGCGAGGCACTCGTCTTCTTTGGACGTCCACTTGACGCGTGGGTCGCCCGTCCTGGCCCCCCGCTTCTTCTTTTTCCCTTTCCTTGCTGGCGCGGGCGCAGACTCCTCCTCCTCCTCGCCGTAGACGAGCTCGCCATCCATTATTCGGCAGCATGGTGGGATGGCGGGGAGAGGGAGGAGAATGGCCGGAGAAGAGGGGCAGAAGGGGGAAAATGGAGGTGAAAACCGGGGGATCGGTGGGGAAAGGCATGTCTCTCGCTGACAGACCGGACCCACGCGCCTTTTGGCTTCGGCCGGCGCCCCCAAGCACCCCCCCAGGGGCTTGGGTTCGGCTCGGGTTCGCCGGCTATTATTTCGGCCCTAACCGGCGATAAACAGGGTCCTCGGGACGCGAATGGGCTGATTTTTCGGCGTCGGTGCTAAAAAAAGAGCCCTGGGGGCATGTTGGGGGCGAGAGGAGATGCTCTTAGAATCAAAGGCATGGACAACTGGCATCATCATATCACATTATCCTACGTTGATGTGGCCTCCATCCTCTCCAGGCAGCGAACATTTCACTTGCCAAGTTGTAGGGCATCTTCAACGGCAACCCGTAAAAAATCTTTCGCATCTGTCCGCGAACAGGGGGATCAATCCACTAACACAGATGTGGGAGGCAGCCATCCAGTGTTAGCCGCATAGGTTTACACAACAACTCAAACCAAACAGACCAAATTTGTGCAAACAAGGTCGGATTTCATGCAAACATGACATATTTCATATAAAAAGGCGGATTTTCATATAAACATAACAGATTTCAGTACATTTATATCAACGGTGTTAGTCCGGCTTTGATGGTATAATAATACCTAATCTATATTGCCGCCCGCAGATCCCTTTGTCTTTCTCATGTCCGGCAGCCTGATCACCAGACTGCCGGGAGCTCTAGAGGCATATGCTTCATCGCAAAGGACGACTCGCTTCCCCGCCACTCATCGGAGTGGAACCCCCCACTGATGCTTCAGCGAAAGGGGAAGGCGGCGCCTCCGCTTCCGTGAAGCCCATGTGGGATCGATGGAGGTCCTCGAAAGAGAAGAACCGTGCAAGACACGATTGTGTACGCCGGTGTCGCCTAGGCGGTGGCCTTCGTGGGACCCAAGCGGCGGTGGACTCCCATGTTCTACTTGTCCTCGGTGATGGCGGTGGATGCGGAGGCGCTGGCCACCGACTCACCACTCTCTGTGCACCTTGCTTCTGCCTCTTTTTCTGCATGGCGCGATCGCAGGCACGGGAGGCGTGTTCGCATGCACGAGAGGCACGGTCACAGGCACGGGAGGCGTGGTCGCAGATGCGGGAGGCGCGGTCGTCAACTGCAGCGATGACGCCCGTGCCGCCGTGCTCCTCGTTGTGCCGGCGTCGAGCAACTGGC